GGGGTTGAGGGTCTAGGTCTTAGGGGTTTAGGGTATGGGAAGTAGCCAGCCCCCCAAAGGGATCTAAAAATTAGATCCCCTAGATCCAGATGAGAAATTATACAAGGATTATATAGGTGTTATTATAGGTCTATATAATGTTTCTAATTTCTAGATCCTCCCAGGAGTCTGGGTATGGGTAAAGGAAAGGTGTGTACTAAGTTACTAAGTATATGAGTAGCGTTTTTGAGTAGCTTTATTTGGTGGTTAAACCTAGTAAGATCATATTCCTTAAATAAAATACTATACCCCAAAAGGAGGATATAATCTTACGGCTATATTGGGTACCATAGTATCCCCAAATAAAATACTACTCATATGAGGACTCTGGAACTAAGGGCCGGTACAACGCACCCACGGTTCTCATCTTGAACTACACTCGAAATTCTCATTACATCAAGAGAATGAATCGAATTAGCAAGCAGGAAATAGCGCTTGCATTGTATGGTCCCTTGATGGCGGGCAGCTGGATCTGCATACCATGAGCTATGCAACATGTTCGGCTTAGAGATCTGTTTCTATCTTTGAGACGCTTCCGAGGCATCATTTCTTTTGTTTAATGCGGGTCCTCTCACCTACCTACCCTAGATTTGCAGTGTTTACAGTTCCCATTTTCTTGGAACTAAGGACAGGAGGCTCAGTATTTGAGAAATCCTCACATCATCCGTCGAGATGATCTGAAGCCCTGGCCCCTGCAGACTTAAGGGTTTATCCAAACGCGACGCTTTCGGCTGATTTTGCCGACCTGCCAAACCTGTTGAAACATCTTCTCAGGTGCGGAAACATGAGCCCTGTATAGCTTTTTTCCAAAACCAGAAGTACATCTTCGGGGGCCCCCATGATACGGACAATAACAAGGTATATGGAGCCCCCCACTTTTGGAAAACTACCAATACACACCGCAGTTTCCATGCCATGTTCCATTCTCTTGTCCATTTGATACTCTTCAATTTAAGTGTAATCCCTAGACCCTCAATCCTAAACAAGGCATTTTCCGTTTCATTTTCCATTGTCTGGCTACCCAGCCTGATGAACATCTACGTAGGCGCGGAAACGGCTTCGTTGGCTGACCTTTGTGGAAGCAGCAGCTTGCTTGCACAGGGATATGATAGGGCCCCTTTGTGGGTTTAGAGCTCTGCTAGGGGTTGATAATGTTTTTTGAAGTATTGAAGTAGATTATACAACGAGATATTTGGGTTGTGGAGTCTGGCTGATACAAAAAAAATGCATGACCTTCAAAGCATTGTGCCTTTCCTGATGATGGTACTGTAGTATACTCAGGCCATGCCGGCCAAGATGTTTAGTGGCAACAGGAACTTGAAGTTGGGGGCTGCCTACGCCCTGCATAGCAAGGATACCCGACTCTTCCGAATCTTGTTTCATAACAACCCGGCGCACCAGGTTTTCTAGAGCTTGTAAGTGAAAGCTGCCCACTGTGCCTAGGTCGCAAAGACTGGCAACCAGAGCCTGCGTGCTATCAAAGCCACGCTGTTCATCTGAACGCACGCACACACACGCGCACACTCTGTCGATGCTGGTGCGTTGATATGTCGTGCCTCCCTTGCGGCACCCGGATCTCTGGCCACAAGGAGTATCTTTTGGAATCACGCAGGCAGTCTGGAGTGTTTCAAGAAAAAGGGAGCTCTAAACTTGTCGAATCCCCTAAGTCCTAACCCCTCTGTGGAGAGAGGAAATATTGCACAACCCAGGATCCCAAATAGTCCCCTCCCCTACTATTAAACCCCCACCCACCTACTACAAAATACTTTCATGATGTGGCATGTTACAATATATTGGGAGTATCTAAATATCAGGTGGGGGGGGGGGGCCTAAACCCTAAACCTGAAACCTTAGGGGTGGGTGGGGTTAATATTAGGGGAGAGGATTAAGCAGTTTTGCTAGCCAAAGTTGAGAAAGGTTGCAGCCACGGCCAGTCAAGTCTTCTTTCTTGGGTCAAAGGATTTAGGGATTTCGGGTCTTAGGGTTTTAGGGATTTAGGGTGTCAGTGTCAGGGACTTACGGTTTAGGGTGAGGTTTAGGGTCTGAGGGAGTTAGGGATTTGGGGCTTAGGGTAACGAAGGTGGTGCCGTGCTGTTTCCATCTGAAGAAGGATCCTCGCTGCCTGGCCCTTAAAGGATACAAAAACGGAACCGCCCAACAATCCCCTAGTTTGCCCGTGTAGTAACAAGCAATAACGGGATGATTTTTTGGGCGTCTTCCGTTTTTGAAACCTGTACCTGGAAGGTCGAGGGGACTTCGTAAATATTCTTATGCCTGCTGAACCTGCTTACAAAGTCCCACAGACCCTATGCCCTGACCCCTAACCTCTAAACCCTAAACCCGTAGTTAACTCTAAGCCCTAAACCCTGAACCCTAAACCCTAAATCCCTAAACCTTAAACCCTAAATCCCTAAATAGTAGTTTCCATTTAATTTTCCATTATCCCTAAACCTCAAACCCCTAAACCCTAAATCCCTAAACCTATATTAGGCCCTATATCCCTAAACCAAAAATCCCTAAATCCCTGAATTCCTTAACCCTATATCCCTAAATCCCTAGACGCTAAAAGGGGGGTCTGGGAATGCTAAGCTTCGGTCACTTTGTGGCTCCGAGTCAAGGCCGCGCCTCCGCAGTTGGTCCCAGCCTTCCGATTTGGGGCTTGCTTTGTAAAGTCGCCACTTAAGGTGTAGGGTTGTTGGGTTTTAGAGTTTTAGGGTTTTAGGGTTTAGGGTTTTAGGGTTTTAGAGTTTTAGGGTTTTAGGGTTTAGGGCTTGGGGTTCAGGGTTTAGGGTTTCAGGTTGTTTTTTGAAGCCAATGGACTTTTGATGCCTGCATGAATGCATTGGTCTCGGTAAGCACCCACAAAGAAACTCAGCGAAGAGTTTTAGGGTTTAGGCTTAGGGTCAAGGGTTATTCTTGGGAGTATGGGTTGATAAGGACCCTGGTAATTAGGCATATGTTCCTGTTGCATTCCCACTATATTTTGGGGATTCTCTGTTTGGGGTCCTCCATTAACTCACATTCAAGCTTTTCACCTAAACCCCCCAAGGGATGTGTAGGGATTTTACGGAGATTCTGGCAGGGTCCTTCTTAGGGTTACTATGAGGGTTATTTTGACAAATATCCACTTGAGTGTTTGGGGGTTGCCAAAGTTGGGAGCCCCATCAAGGGAGTCCCTGCCATAAGGAACAAAGTATGACAGCACAGTGAGGGTCTATGTTGGGAGCCTATGTTTCTGGAAACCCACATTTTAGGGTGTAGGGCTAGGCTTTTTGTTTGTTTTGGGGTGGGGCTTTCCTTCTAGAAGCCCGGGCTCTCGCAACAAGAGGGGGAAGGATCACTCTCAGGGACATTGATAATGCAGACTGTCTTTCTGGGTTTTGAAACGGGGACACTCACGTTGAGAAGTGCCAAGAATGGTGGAGCGTGGACCCTATGCTGATGTCCTTTCAGTATGTGGGTCCTGTCTTTCGGCCTCTTCCTGACATGCACTCCTCGGTAGCCTCCTCTTTTTGAGGCCCACCAGAACATGAAAATTTGACCAATGGAGCCATGATGGCGTCAACGAATTAGTGGGGGGATCTTTAGCAACCCTGGCCCCCTGTTTGGAATTGTTAGGACTCTAGAACTATCATATGACTATATCTATAACACAATTTGGTCCTGATTTGGGGGGTTAGCGCTACCAAAATCCCCCTATTACGAAGCAAGGAAAAGCACGACCACGTCCAACACTCAAGCAAGGAAATGACATGAAAGGCCAAGAATTGCCAATGCCTTGTCCCTTAGCGGGCTACATCTATCGATCCAACGTGGATTTCATGAATCGTCTTGCTCCTGGCTGCCGACGTGAAAACAACCACTGCAAGACTTGATAACTTGATAACATACATGCAAGACAATGTACTTTGCATCAACAAGGGAACCCCCCTATAAGTCCCCAAATAGTCCTTGCCTTACTATGGGGACCCCTATCGCTAGTAGAAATGGTACCACTGATTTTGGGAAACCCTAGTCCCTATAAAACCCAAAGTAACCACAGTTTCCATTTCATGTTTTGATTCTCCATTGTTGGGGTAATATCCCTATACTAATCTCTACATAAAGGGACCTAGGATTTCCATTTCATTTTCCATGTTTTCCATTTGATTCTCCATTATTGTGGTAATACCCCTAATTTTGGGAAACCTAAGCCCTAAACCCTGAATAGTAGTTTCCATTTCATTTTCCATGTTCTTTTCCATTTGATTCTCCACTATTGGGGTAATATGGCTCAAAACAAAGCAGGACTGGCAGTTCGCATGCGGACCTTGGAGGATGGTCCGCACCACCTTGCAGGATTCCAGTCGTTGAGACAAAGTCACAAGCCCAGTGCAGCAGGGTTTATATAGGGTTTAGGGGGGGCACAGATGCATTTATAGAGGGTTTAGGGGGTACAGGTCCTGCAGTCCTGCAGTTCCGCAGTCAGTGCGCTGGCGAATGGAACGACGTGGAGCGTGAACACTTGTGAACATTACTTTTCGGAGCTCTTGCCTTTCATGCTGTCGAGTGCCTTTGTGGCTCAAACGAGCCAGCGGCCAACATAAATGCATCTCGCTTGGATGCTCCTCTGAGAGTCTCCGACTCTACGCTCAAGACTACCTGTACAGCAGCAGTCCAGCTGTGCGGGATTGAAAAATTGGCTGCTGCCAGCCTGTACATAACTATGCTCATGCAGAGATAAGGGCACGAAGCGGGAAGCAAACTCACTCAACAAATGTTCGTGGAGTTTGCTACTGGCTAAGGTACCCGTCACATACCCCTAGTTTCCAACATAGGGGGTCTATACATACCACCAGGCTACAACCAACTGCTGTGGTTTCACCCAGCGTTGGGGTCGGGCACCATGGCGGGAAAGGCAGCTCTCAAAGGATCCACGGCTCACGACGTTGGCGTGCTGGAGGACCTCCTTGTAGTCTCTTCTAGATATTCTTGGCACGAGCCTCTGCCTTACTCTGCCTCTTGCGCAGCTTGGCCAGCTTGCGATTCTGAAACCTCCGCTTTGACAGTTCTCCATCAGCGCAAAGGTGACAGTGAAGGCAATCTGTGCCCCTTGTGCAACTGCCAGGTCGCCAGTACCAGGCACAGGGCTTGCAAAGCTTGGCCTCGTGCAAAGCAGATCCTACGGACTGGGTCGGTTGAAGGGTGCCCGCGCTGGTTGAGCTTGAGCCACTGACAGTGGAATGGGTTGGCGAGCTGGAGCCAAGCTTGTTTCCTGGCTCTGGCACACCGTCAGAGTCTGAGTCCTCTTCAAGAAACCATGAGCTGCCTCTGCGTGTTGAGTCTGCCAGAGATGTCAACAGACTCGCATTGCTACCACAACGTGTGGATGCCAATCGCCCAGCTGTACGATGCCTCAACGTGGATGCTGTGCCTGGTGAAGAATCTGATTCTGTACACTGGACGTCATGCTCATGCACCGTCACACCTACAAGCTTCGGGGCTGGATTGTTGATCGGGGCTTCCACAAGATCTTCGCCACCTTCGCTTGCCTCTAAGCTGAACAACACTGGCAAACTCAAAGAGCGTCTCAACGCTTCGCCTTCGCTGGGGACAAACTCCAGAAAGGTCTTCTTCTCCACCAGCCGGAACTTCATCACTTCCTCCATCTGTTTGGCTGCCATCTGCTTCAGGCTGGGACGGGCTTGCGCGAAACTAGTCCTTGCTTTCCTGGCGGCTGCAGCATGTCAGGTCCCATAAGGCTAAGGCGGCGAAGGATGTGATGCGGACATGAAGTTCCATGGCCAAACACACATGCTCAAACACCTGCAAATCTGCATATCCTTGCTCCTTCCACGCCCTTTCGTGGCCTCCGCGGACAGGCGGTCGTGAGGGATCTCCGCACCATCGTCGTAGGCATAGAGCAGCGTCATACAGCATTCCTTCTTGAGACGGTGCGGCTACTGTAACCTTCACTTCACAAACAGCTTGCGCTGTCACAATGGGTCTAAACACTCTGCGGCAGCTCTTCGAGCTTTCTGAAGCTCTGTTCATGGCGCTTGCCGGTGGCTACCCCAGGCCTCCACCAGGGCATCTGCATCCACCTCGCCCTGGCCAAGAGGAGTCTCATACAACAAATGCATTGAAGACTTTCAAGCACAACACAGGGTAGCTTCCGTAAATAGGGGGGCCCCAACATACAAACCAACATAACGTAGTGCTTATTATGGGAACCCCCCCAGAAGGTACTGCTAATTGTTGGAATCCCCACATGCTGACTGATGCAGAACTTAGGCATCGAATACCACATGCAGACTACGGCCAAACAACTGAGCACGAAATGGGCCAAGTTGTCCTGCACATGAAAGAATCCAAGCTAGTGAGATATGGGAACCCGATAGTACAATCTAGCCATGATATACCATCATAAAATACTCTTGATGGCGGAAATCCTGCACCACCTTAAGCATCTACTGATTGATACTCTACTGGCCCTGGGCGGCGCAAGACTCCCTCCATCAGCGGTTTAAGAATCATGGGTTCTCCTGCTATCCACAAACCTTTTCCTACACCCGTGCAGAAACTAACCCTTCATTGGGATTATCCCAGGATAAAGAAGGCTAGTTGATTACTTAAGGGGGAACCTTTATGAGGCGTATAGCGGGGTGTTAGTACCCTGAACCGTAAACCCTAAATCCTGAACNNCCTAAATCCTAAACCCTAGGTCCTAAACCCTAAATCCTACAAAAACTCAAGAACCCACAGAAAAAGAAGAAGAAAGGACTCCTTCAGGCGGTCCAGTGCAGCGCCTCCTGCGTGAAGTCAAGGTTGGCCCTTGAAAGAAGGGCTTGAACCTGCAGGTAACGGATTACGGTTTAGGTTTGAGGGTTTAGGTTTTAGGGTTTAGGGTGAGTTTGTATAGACGGGATACAGCCCCCCTCAAGTAGATAGAATCGTCGGGATATGGGGATCCCGTTACGATATTTGGCAATTCCATATTCTATCTACTTAAGGCTGACTATACCCTGAGCTATCTGAGGGATATATGCGGATTACAAAAAACAGATTCGGGAGGTCCCTGACAAGCACTCTTTTGTGATGATTTTGACTGAGAAAACCCAACAGCACCGCACCTCGCATGCTACTCTCCGTCACGGGAAAAATCCCACAAGCAAACAAAGTGCAACTTTGGGATCAGGGCTGGAAGAATAAGAAGAAGCCTCCTCTGAAACGCGTCGCCGTAGGTCTGTAGGTATGGTTGCAGATCCTGGCCAAAGCAAGTTACATGGACCGCGACTGATTGCAGGCTGATGGCCTGAAAGCGCGTGCAAGCTGCTCGGTGTGAACACCTGCCAAACTCACGTCGGCAAAGAACCAGTCCTAGTGCACATAGGTCGTAGGCTCCTAGGCCAAAGTCTCCACAGGGCCTCTGGTGCCGGGGCGTACGCTTCCATGATCAAGGGCTCCGCCTGCTGCACTCACAGATCTCCATATGAAATGGTACTCGCAAGTGAGGTAAGCTGTGACTTGTAAGCACGGCGGGAGTGCCGGATCTTGGACCTTCTCAGTGGTGTCGACGGTCAGCCTCAAGTAGAAGTAAAAGCTGGCAACAAAGGCCATGATGTGGGGCTAGTGTGCACCCACTTGCAACAGGTGCGAACAATCCGGTCTGGTGCGAACCCAAGGCCCCTGTACACTACCCAAAGTGACAGTCTCCTGAATATGCACGTCTCCAAGAATGGGCCATCATACAACAACATATATGCACGCACATATATGATAGGTCTATGTATACATGGAGCCACACAGTATAGTGCCCCAAGCCCTAATTCCTAAACCCTATATATGTAGCATGCGATGGCCAAGGCCTTTGCTGTTTTGGCTGTACTGGTTGAGCAATTGTACTTCTTGGAGGGGGGCTTGAATCCTGCGCAGTGCACCACAGCGGTGTAGAGTTTAGGGAGGAGGGTTTGGGGTGTAGGGTTTAGGGAGGAGGGCTTAGGGTCTAGGAGTCCAGGTGGCCGAGACAATCCCCGCCCTCACCTTAATCATTAACCCCATAGTGCCCTTATATTCTAGGGGAATATCTTTATTAGGGGCCGTGGGTGAGTTGCAATTTGGGGGAAATGATTAGAGGTACTAGAAACAAACAGACTGGAAGTAGAGATGACAGCAACTGCGACAGCAATAGCAAGCTGATTATCTACTTGGACCACCCTTACCTTTTTGCGGTTGGCTGGCATCATCAACAAGGTCCAGCAACAATGCATGGCATGTATCAGCAATGTAACTCGACAACGTTCATAATGACTGTGCATTTCACTGACATTGGGGTGGGTCGAGCAGTTCTGTTACTAATGCTCTGGGGCTTGGCAATGCACACTTGGGGGCACGGCAGGGATACTCTGCAAGGATATTCTGCGAATGGGCACTGCTGGGATATTTTGCAGTTGAGACCTGCAAGGATGATCTGCAATTGGGCACTGCCGGGCGCTGCGGGGATATTCTGCCATTGAGCACTGCTGGGATATTCCTCTGTGGTGTGATTTGGCATGGGGGGGATGCGGTTGCGCAGCGCGGCATTGCAGGGATACTTGGCAATTGGCTGTTGGGATGTTTGCAGATATTCTGCAATGGGCACTGCAGGGAACCTGTACGCTTGGGAACAGCGCGGAGGGCGAGGAGAATATAGACTTGGGTTTAGGGTTTAGGGTTTAGGGTTTAGGGTGAAAATCCAAGCCGTCAGGGCGGGGAACAATGCGACTGTAGACCCCACACCAAACACAATCAAAGCTTGCCTACTAATACTAGCCCCTGCGCGTATGCCATCTAGTTTCAGTTACCTGTTCCGCTTCTTGATTCTCCACTGTTAGTAACATTTGGCAGCTTCCCAAAATGAAAAAAAACACCAAAAGACACGAATCCTTATTATGGGGACTCCCCAAAAGGTCCTCCTAATTTTGGGAAACCCCCATTTAGGCCCCTACTTTTTACAGGAACCCTAGGGCTCAGGGCTAAATCTGTGAAGGATTGCAGAAAATACAGGCTTCTGGGGGTGCCCAGGATAATGAAAGAGTAAATGGAAACCTCAATTTGTTTAGGATTCAGGGCTTGGGCTTGAAGTATATGATCGCAATAAAGGAGAACCAACTAAATCAACAAAAAGAACGGAAAATGACATGAAAACTGTGTTTCTGTCGCGGTAGGGTTTAGGGTTTAAGGATTACTGCCACAAGCGACCCTAAACCCGCCTCTATTAGCCTTGTGTCTGCCAAGTTCGGCTTCGGGTCAGCTGCTACCTCCACGGCCTCAGTGGAAACATGGACTGCGACTGGAAAAGAGCCTCTAATCCCCCTTAAGTAGATAGAATATGGCTTTGGGTATATTATAATAAGATCCCCATATACCCCATATTCTATCTACTTAAGGGGGGCTATGAACTTTGGGCCCTGCCCCCCACCCCCCCCAACAATCTATAGCAGGGATCATATTAAGTTCTCTATATATCTACATTTTAAACAAAAAATCCAACTGTTCATAGTCATAAATGGGAGAAGAATCCAAACTAAACCGTAAACCCTAACCCTAAACCCTAAACCTAAACCCCAAGGCTTAGCAGGATGCTGGTAAACATTTTGGGGGACTCGGGTTTAGGGCTGAGGGGGCCCTGATTCAGCATGTCCTTATCTCTAGAGGTCGTTGGGAGAGACTGCCCGAAATTCCTGAACTACTGCCTTCGGCCTCCTCTGCTTTTCTTCGAGAGAATTAAGGTTTTATTGGGTTATATGGGGCTCTATATATTTCGATAGAGATAAAGGAGAAGAAAACGGAAACTAATATTTAGGGTTTAGGGTTTGATGCCTTGCCTGTCCAATCATCCAAACACTTGGCTCGCAAACCCTAAAAGCCAAACCCAGGAACTCAGCAAGCTTCCGTCTCTTTCAGAGCTGTCTCACGAATCCCATATGGGGGTTTCCCAAAATTGGGGGGACCTTTTCTGGCGGTCCCTATGATGAGGATTATAGAATATTGGCGTCTATGTTGGGGTCACCTGTTTAGGGAAACTACCATCTGCACAAGTATGAAGGTTTCAAGGCTATTCTCCCAACGTTGTACCCCTGGCTTGCAGCAGCCTTTAAAACAGAGTTAGGGTGACTGTATGGGTCATATCAGAATTACTTTGGGCCATGTTGGGTGTACGACCTAAACCCTTTTGCTGCAGGCTCA